TTTGAGCTGTAGGGTTCCAGGTTCCGAGGGCTCGGGGGGGCCACTAGGTGAAGCTTTCTATGCTAGTAGTTACAAGATACTAACACGCGTCTGACAAGGGTCTCTGTTGGTGCCATTGGTAGGCTTATGTAAACAGAACTTCTAAAGGATCCACAGATCAATAAGGCATCAATCAATAAAGTAAGGTATCCTAGAATTGTAAAGCTTAACAGGAGGCACAGCAGCATAGAGGCTTCGTTTCCAGCGGGCTTAGGGTTGTGGTGGCTTTTGTAGGTTTACCCAGAGAACCCAATACCACTGAATTGAGGAATATACCTTAGATAATAGGGGCCTTGATATTATGATTCAAGGAGTATTCCTTAGTTAAGGGATATTGGGTTCTCTGGGTAGGTTTATTTAACCCCTATAGTGCTCAAAAGCCCTATGTAGCAGGGTCTTTGGGCCGAAAAGCCTTAAACTCTGAGTCCTTGGAGCCCTTACGGCAAGCGCTTTTGCCTACAAGCGCGCCATCTGCTTTGGATTGCTGTGTCAGGTCTTGGGGCTGAATCTCAACGGTGTTTTTGCGAAGTTTAAGACCTACTTGGAGGTGTTACAAGTCCGTGGAGTTACATGAACTTGAATTATGGTTGCTTTACTTATAGCCCCGCTTATAACTATACCCATCAACCTTTAAGTCAGGATTTAGGTCATCCTCGGTGGGCCGATCGATCGCCACCGGAAACGCCCTAGCCCTAAACCTCTACTAGGGACCCCCAAAAGCACATAAGCATAAGCAGTTTATAGGGATATCCCTACCTTAATGGGCTTCATTATAAGGGGGTTTATATGGGATATCCCTATGCTAGTTTTTGCTTATGTGGTTTTTTGGGGCCCTATCTACAAAACAGCATGAATCAAGCCAATACCCTCAACCACTGAAGCCTAAACACGTCATAGTTCGACCTGCCAACCTCTTTATGTGTCCGGGCTCCGGGTGTTCTTGACTCCGCCCCTCTCTCCCCCGCAACGGATCCCAATGGCATCCACCTCACAAACGCCCATGTAATGTAGGAACCTGATTTAGAAACCTTGGGCCGTTATGAGGGTTCCTTCCATTCAAAGGCTTTGTTCAGCCCAGGTAAAACCCGCAAACGACCCCTAAACCCTAAACCCCAAACCCTAAACCCTAAACCCTAAACCCTAAGCCCTAAGCCCTAAGCCCTAAACCCTAAACCCTAAACCCCAAAAGCATAACACTCTGAACCCAAGTCCCCTAAACCTCAAAACCCTAAACCCTTAAACCCTAGACTCCTCAAATCCTTAAATCCGCATAGATCCCTTTATAGGAACCCTTATAGTACCCTCTGAAGGAGCCCTAAAGCCATAAACCCCGAGAGCCACAACAACTTAGCACCCTAAATTCAAAGCCCCAAAACCTCAAGGCCCTAAACCACAAAACCCTCGACCCCAAAATCTCTAAATCCTTATCGATCCCTTCCTATCCCTCATAGTACCCTTTGAAGGAAGCCCTAAAACACCATAAACCCCCAAAGCATCCGGCCTGGCGGAAGTAGAGTGCACCGGACCTGGAGAGGCCGCTGCTGCCAAGAACGAAGCCACCAAGGCTGTTCCCCTCGCGCTGGTTTGGGTTGAGGGCTTTTGGGGTTTAAGGCTTATAAGGTTTATGGTTTATGGTTAGGATTGTTGGATGCTTACAGCCGTTTCGGAATTTAGATTCTTTGACGGGGCTATTTCGGAGCTCTGCTTGTTAAGGCGGTTTGGGCGCTTGCTTGTTGCTTTAAAAGAGTGCCTTGCAAGTATATAGAGGTAGTAGGGGTTGATACAAGTTTGATAATGGTTTGTTATTGGTTTGTTTCTATGGTTTTCCATGGCACCTCACGGATGGGGGTGCGGGGCCCGAAACCCCTAAACCCTAAGCCCTAAACCCGGTGTGGGGTTGCCCTGGGCAGCAGGCACCGCCACCTTTCGTTGCTCCAGAATCCCCGCCTCGCGGGGCTTTCAGATCCTTATGTACATGGTGGTTGTCAGAAGTATGGTCCCTTTTTGGGTCCCCATAGGCCCCATAGTAGTTCCTTTTTGGGATTATCTGGGTCCCTGATGCAATACGGCACCTATACTATTTAGGGCGGAGGGTTTTTTTTTTCAAAGGTGCGGCCAACCCATTTTTTTCCTAGGTGCGGCCAAGGATCTGTTCAGGTTCGACACGCAGGATCCCTGTGAAGGGTTCATCGGGGACATAGAAAATTTGCACCGCGCCACAGCGCCAGCGCTTCGACACGCAGGATCCCTGTGGAAGGTTCATCGGGGACGTAGAAAATTTGCACCGCACCACAGCGCCAGCGCTTCGACACGCAGGATCCCTGTGAAGGGTTCATCGGGGACATACAAAATTTGCGCCGCGCCACAGCGCCAGCGCTTCGACACGCAGGATCCCTGTGGAGGGTTCATCGGGGACGTAGAAAATTTGCGCCGCACCACAGCGCCAGCGCTTCGACACGCAGAGGATCCCTGTGGAAGCTTCATCGGGGACGTTGAAAATTTGCACGCCACAGCGCCGGCGCTTCGACACGCAGTATCCCTGTGGAGGGTTCATCGGGGACCTCCCCCCTTTGCAAACCTTTTAAACCCTTCACGATTGATTGTGTTTTCTTCGCATCAAACCACCCTGACGCGTTGTTGTCTGGACTTCTCCTTCTTGTGTTTTGGCGAATACGTTTTTGTGCATCTTTCGTGCCTTTAGTGAGCGGGGAGTTTAGTCTAAAAAAGCGGGGGGGTTGGGGGGGGCGCAGCCCCCCCCATTTGTAAACCTTTTAAACCCTTCACGATTGATTGTGTTTACTTCGCATTAAACCACCCTGACGGTTTGTTGTATTTACAAACCCTTTAAACCCTTCACGACTGATTGTGTTTTCTTCGCATTAAACCACCCTGACGCGTTGTTGTCTGGCTTTCTCCTTCTACTGTGTTGGCGAATACGTTTTTGTGCATCTCTTCGTGCTAGTGAGCGGGGAGTTTAGTCTAAAAAAAGCGGGGGGGTTGGGGGGGGCGCAGCCTGCAAACCTTTTAAACCCTTCACGATTGATTGTGTTTACTTCGCATTAAACCACCCTGGCGCGTTCTTGTCTGGCTTTCTTCTTCTTGTGTTTTGGCGAATACGTTTTTGTGCATTTCTTCGCGGCTTTTTAGTGAGCGGGGAGTTTAGCCTAAACAAAGCGGGGGGGTTGGGGGGGCGCAGCCACCCCCCCAGTTGCAAACCTTTTAAATCCTTCACGATTGATTGTGTTTTCTTCGCATCAAACCACCCTGACGCGTTGTTGTCTGGACTTCTCCTTCTTGTGTTTTGGCGAATACGTTTTTGTGCATCTCTTCGTGCCTTTAGTGAGTGGGGAGTTTAGTCTAAAAAAAGCGGGGGGGTTGGGGGGGGCGCAGCCCCCCCCATTTCCAAACCTTTTAAACCCTTCACGATTGATTGTGTTTACTTCGCATTCAACCACCCTGACGCTTTTTTGTATTTACAAACCCTTTAAACCCCTCACGACTGATTGTGTTGTCTTCGCATTAAACCACCCTGACGCGTTGTTGTCTGGCTTTCTCCTTCTACTGTGTTGGCGAATACGTTTTTGTGCATCTCTTCGTGCTAGTGAGCGGGGAGTTTAGTCTAAAAAAAGCGGGGGGGTTGGGGGGGGCGCAGCCTGCAAACCTTTTAAACCCTTCACGATTGATTGTGTTTACTTCGCATTAAACCACCCTGACGCGTTGTTGTCTGGCTTTCTTCTTCTTGTGCTTTGGCGAATACGTTTTTGTGCATCTCTTCGCGGCTTTTTAGTGAGCGGGAAATTTAGCCTAAAAAAAGCGGGGGGGTTACCTTTTAAACCCTTCACGATCCCCGGCGCTCCCCGTCGGCCCTATTTGCCTACATGCCAATGTCGGCCCCAGGGGCCGACATAGCCATGTAGGCCCCTGGGGCCGACATTCGCGGAAAGACCTTCTATTTCTATCAAATCCGGGCCTCCCAGGGCCTGTTTCTATCAAATATGGGTCCTGGAGCCTGCCAAAGCCCGCCAAGGTCATTCAAAGCCACCCAAAGCACTGTTTGGGCCTGTAGAACTTCTGGGAGTCTCCCACCCTAAGGGGTTTGGTGAAGATGAAATGCATTTGTAATGTACTGGCAGTCAAATAATTAAGAGCCGATAATACAATAGAATACTTCTACATTGCTCGTAACATTGTACTTTGCCGCCTATGTGGTGTTGGCATACAGGTGATATGTACTGGCTCGGCCAACAACACCAAACAAGCCGCTTGCAAATCAAAGGAACCTCAAAGGGTCAGTCCTGTTTAGCTTTTTGCGGCCCATGAGTTCTTCTAGCTTTGCATCCAGCACGGCAGTATACCGAAACAACACAAAATACCTAGCAGGAATTCGGCTGTAGCATGGACGGCAAGATGCAGTCAACAACAAGCTTGACAATTTGGTCCGCGTTGCCACAAGGAAACTTATGTATCTGTCGGCATATAGTTTTTTTATGTTTTGTACCTATACCTGGTAATCCCATAACCGATAAAATATGCGGGTCTACTTTAGCACCCCGTGTTTGGTATCATGTTAAACATAGACCCCGTGTTCCAATCTCAAACCCCGGGTTCGGTAGGGTATTCTTATAAGCCCCACGAAATCCACTAAAAAAACATCCAGAAGCAACTCCGATCCCAGGCCTTCGTGCAGGCTCAAAGCGAATGAGGACATGCATCGGATCGAGTGCAAGCAAACAACCCATAATCGATTCCTTAAGCTCCGAAGATCCCCAAAGACTTAAATTCCTCGAACAACGATGGCACTGGGACGATTTTCTTTGCCAAGCCGGGACAAGCCGGCATCTCAGTTCTCGGCAGGGAGCATTCCAGACTTCGGGAAAACTTGTGGCGTCGATTGTTGTTGAAATGACCGCAATTGAGTTAATCTCAAGGTTCGCCAGGCTTCTCCTATAGGATTCTTAGCCATGCCTCGGAACGCGAAGCGTGAGGGTCGTGCGCCTCGTGAAAGGAGTTTTGCTGGTGAGGCGAATGAAGCAGGCTTGTGCATAACCGATTTGCACCAGGCTTGGGACTCCACTTGTGATGTGCGGCAAAGGTTGCGCGAGGGACAGGGGTTGATGCACCCGAACAGTGGACTCCAATGCGACAATGCCGTGTGTGTGCTGAACTCCGGCCTGCTGCTTCCACTTTTGCATCGCATGAGTGAAAGCTCGGAAAGAAAGCTTCCATCGGTGGGAGATCTTCGGTCTGAGATGACGAAGGTTTTCGCTATCAACAAGCGCGTCGGAGCCGACGTGCAATCATGTGTTGCCGCCGAGGCGATACACGTTCGTAAGCTGTTGTCTTTCATCAAAGCAAAGGTTCGACGGGAGGAAGTGAGCCACGTGTTTCGGTAGCATTGATTCAGTTTTTCAGGGGTTCAGTCTTATATTATTGGTTAAAGCGAATGTGAACTTAGCTATCCTATCGACAACCAATCCCTCCGAGGATCCCAACTTCCAGGAGCTTTGCTTGGCCCTCGATCCGATGCTTCAGGCGGGCTTGCAGGGTGGACTTTTGCACTAAGGGGTGGCTTATTGAAGGGACGCATATATAGGAATGAGGAAAGATATTTCGGATGCCTTACCAGCTTAATTGGGTATAGACCTTAATTAAGACACTTATGGGTCAAGGTTTGCTTCTTGGACCACTTGCCCCATTGTTCATTTTCTCCGGCGCAGGCCGTTGTCGATGCCATCAATGAGCGGCGGGCGGGGAAGGCGTCCTTGCAGGCGGGGGTTTGTGTCGAGGGCTTGAGTTCTTAATTCGGCAGAAGGGATACATCAAGGATTCGTCGTTTGGATGAGCATAAAGATTGGAGTGCGATTCAAGTGAACAATTTCGTCAGGAGCCGGAGGCGCCTGAAGATGAGGATGCATACGACGAGGACGACGAAAGCGCAGGGGAGGACGATCAAGCTGACGACATCATGGAGGGCCATGCGAGTGCCGGAGCTATCGAAGACCCCGAGCCGAAGCCCTTGCACCCCGAACAGACGTCACTAGTCGAGCAAAAGTCACCTGTGGACCCCAAGCAGAAGTCACCTGTGGACCCCGAGCAGAAGTCACCTGTGGACTCCGTACACCCCGAGCAGAAGTCACCCATGGACTCCGTGGACCCCAAGCAGAAGTCACCCGTGGACTCCTTAGACCCCAAGCAGAAGTCACCTGTGGACCCCAAGCAGAAGTCACCTGTGGACCCCAAGCAGAAGTTTCCTGTGGACTCCGTGCACCCCGAGCAGAAGTCACCCGTGGACCCGAAGCAGAAGTCACCCGTGGATCCCACTCAGAAGTCATCTGTGGACCCAAATGAAAGGCCCGATGCAAGTGAGGCTACTGCGAATCCTGGAGACTTGAAGAGTACCCCTGAGCCCAAACATCGAGTGGAAGCATCCGAATCCTTGCAACGAGCTCCATCGACCGTATCAGAGACATCAGAGGAGGCTACATGGTATTAAAAACTTAACGTTTTGGTACGGGCTAATTCTATATATAGTCGGAATGCAGGAAGACGTTAACTTGTCGGTGCAATTGAGCAATAATATCCATCAGGCTCTTTCACCTCCTCTCCCGACGAAGCTGTCCTTCACGCCGTCACCTTCTGGCCGTGCTGCAGGTGGGCCTTGGGTGATCTATATGAGGCATCTGTTCTTATCAATGGTGTTTCAAACCTCGGACCATTGATCTCATGTAATTCCGTATTGGTTGCAGGCCTTTCGGCTGAGTCTCGCCAACAGATGATTGCCCGTATTGCAGCTTTAAAGGCCAGACTGGCAGAGATACTGGGACTCCATCGGCATGATCTGTGGTCATAATGATATAGACGATGTATGCTTATGCTAACCCCACCTGTAATGAACACGACTATTCCCTTAACTGTCTTAGGAAACAGCAGAACTCGGAGACTCCTGACCTGAAGCTCGGCAAGACGACTGCCACCGATACTGCAGGACACTTCTGAAGCCCTTTTGTTGTTGAATCTATTACCAGTGTCGTGAATAATTGCCTGGATAACCTAACGGACCTATTGGATGCCTTTGTGCAGGACCCTCCCAGCATTCATCCTTTGGTTCGGCTGCTGCTTCGGATGATACGCAGCCTTGGGACTGCATGGCTGATGCTTCGGTGCCCGAGGAGCCTGCGACGGCGGTGGCGCAGGATCCAGCCCAGAGCGCAGATGCAGCGCCATCGGATGTCGGCGAAGGTGTGAAGGGGCCTGTGGAGAGCTTCACAGAGAGCAACTCTGAGGCGGGTTGTTCATTCAAGTTCCTTATGTAGAACAGTATATTCAGGTATATATATTAAGGTTTAAAGCCCGCCCTTTGGAAACCTATGCAATCCCTACATAGGCGGAGAAGCCGGTGCTGACGAGACGGGATCAGTTGGTCTTGCGGAGCAGGGTGAAGGGCAGCAAGAAACGGGGACCGAAACGAGGATCCAAAAAGAGCCAGGGCAAGGGCATCAAGAGGGGCAAATCCTTGCCCTTGTCCCCATCCAAGCGGAGGAGGAAAATCCTTCGAGAGGTCGCCGAGGACCGCGACGAGGACCATGAGCCCGAGGGTGAGCATGAGGTCGAGGCCACGGAGAAAGAGGTTGCTAAGCCCAAGGCGAAAGCAAAGGCGAAAGCCAAAGCAGCCACGACCCCCAAAGCGAAAGCCAAAGCCAAAGCAGCCGTGGCCAAAAGCAAGGCGAAGGCGAAGAGCAGTCCGAAAGCGAAAGCCAAAGCCAAGGCCAAAGCCGAAGACAAGGATGGGGTTCCGATCGCAAAGGGAACGAAAAAGCTTTCGCCCCAGAAGGAAATCATCATGAAGCCTGCGGAGCTGTGCATGTTTGAGGCTCTGGATTGGTACTTCGGAGTTAAGGATCCTGCAGGGCTGAAGGAGATCATTGTCACTTTCGCAAAAAAGTGGGCTTCCTGTGCCGATGATAAGAAAGGCAAGCATGAGCTCAAGGGTGCTTTGGATGAGATTTGGTACTGCGGCTACAACATGTACTGGAACAGGCCTGCAGCCGGTGTCCTACACAAGGAGACTGGAAAGGAGCTCGCTTACTTTTCCATCCCGGCTACCCGAAGCGAGAACTGCTCATGGGGGCAAAAGATGGCTGTGGTAGCGAAAGCTGCCAACATGTTCGCCTCTTATGCGGATTCCTTGATCTACGATGGCTACGTCGATTCTACAAAACCGGACACCTCGAAGGACCTGGTTATCATGAGAAACATTTTCAAGTCTGTTGTTGAGGGCTCCGTGAAAAAGCTTGCGGAGTCTGGCTAGACTTTCCAAGCTTCGCTGGGTTAGGGCTGCGAGGCCACTGTATGTAGTGATCGATGGGAGTGCAACAGCAAAGCTGCTTGTGAGTGGTAGATCGATCTGATATGTGCACAGGCTTTAGTGCAGTGCCTAGTGTAGGCATGGACCGGAGCTGTTCCTGGGATTCTGCTTTCGTGGTTTTCTGTCTTGGCAACTTAAGCTACGTGATTGTATGCAGAGCCAGATTTGTTATAGGTTGGGGGCTAGCGTCGTCTTGGGGACAGGCTCAGATCTATATACATAGTCATTTTGAGTTCCGTGCGAAAATGCAACCCGCACTGCCAAGAAGTATGGCCCAGAAGATAGCTAAAGTATACCTTTGCAACTCTTAAGACTGTATACACAGTCCCAATCTGTATCCAAAGCTTCTGGCCTGAAAGTGTGATTCCGCACTCCCGGCTCCAGGATCGTCGAGCGCCATGAAAAAGCCTGGGATGTGTTTTCGGGATTGCATGTCTGCTCCTGTGCTTCTGAGCTTCCACTAGCCCAACCACGAAAACCGGCAAACCGAAGCGAGCAATGCACCTAGAGCCCGACACTTTTGTATTATCGCCCGCTAGACAACCCTAACCCGTGAATACCGAAACTCCGTAATCCCACACTGTCTACATTCCTTAAGTGTAGCAAACCCCATACCCCAAATCCTAGTACCCGAACTCCGACCCAAGTCGTAGTGCGAACCCTATATAACTTCACTTTCGAGAAACCCAGCCCAAACTATCTCCCGAACACAAACAACTGTAACCCCAATTCCCTAAATAGAAGCCCCCGACAATCCTTTATATAGAGGAGCCGAAAACACAACCCAAAACAAAAAGCACTTACCCCATTCTTGCCCAGGCCCGATCTGCGATGCCTCTCCTCCCTGGTGGCAGCCTGTGGAAGCACCGTGTTGCGCAGAAGAAGCAGCAGGGCCGTGCCGGCTTTTTACGGTTGTTGACTGCATCTGCTGCTCTTCGGAGGGAAGAGTGTTGAGTTGTGCTGGACTGCATGATTGTGCCGCATCATGTGGACAGTTACACTTCGAAGGCAGCGATTCCGTCTTTTATGTCAGGATATATACATGTGCACAATCATGATCGTTGGGATGTGCCGCCACGTATGCTTCAGGCATGAGAGCTAAAGTGTCACTTAATCTGCAACTGATTGCTCACCCCTGTTCGGCCTTGTCGGTGTCATGGTGGTCGACGTCGATCTGCTCTCCTGGAGATTGAAACAGCTGAAAGCCCCCAAGGACCTTGGCAATATGTATCCCATAAACGACATGTCCTCACCTAAAGGTATCAAACCAAACGCACCCACCGCCCGCAGGACTTCATACTGCTGGTGCTACTCGTCATCTGGTCTGTGGACACATCCAAGCTTGAGCAGGCTGGGCTGGCGGGGAGAAGGTTGCTTTAACTCTTATCTTTGCATACTGGGCAGGACTACACTTTTCTGGAGTTCTATGCTGGCCATGGAAATTTGCACAAGATGATGAGGGCTGCAGGCCGTTATAAGGCAGCTCGTTTCGATATCTCAGATGGGCCCCGTGATGTCAATTCATGCAGAAGTAACTACATGGACCTCAACTCGGTCAGTGGGTTTGCGAGCCTTGCTCAAATCAATCAGAATCACTTGTCCTCGTGAATCATGTCGGTGTCTAGCTCTTGCAGCAGTGTCACCTCGGCTTCCCAACAACTCAGTCTGGCAATCTTCTATGTGCTCAAATTGGCTGCTGGTGGTTCTTATGTTCACTTCGGCATGAAGTGCTCATCATTTACCACGATGAATGCAGCTACCAGTGCCCGTTCGGCTTGTGCCAGCACAGGCTTTGAGGAGCACAGGTCGGTGCCGTATTCGAACTGTCTGCTTGAGAGGAGTGATCTTCTGGGGCCAATTGGGGTTTGTGTGGGTATATAGCAAGTCAGGGTCTAAGAATTTATTGCCACGGTATAGTGTCGCAGTGCCGGGAGGACAATCTTACTTATCCTGTTGGTGACAGCGATGGATAGCACGTGGTCTTTGGAGCAGCCAGGGGGATCGGTACTAGAGTTCTACCCAGCCTGGAGAAGCATGATGATGGCTCTTTCAGAAGTTGGAGGTCCATATGCAGTCGCCTGAACACCTTTAGCTTGGCGGGGCGGGCTTAGGGTTTATATAGGTGGGGCTACTATGTGAAGGTTGTTTCGAATAGGTTGCCAAGGGTTTCTGTCAGGTTTGTCGAGTCCTTTTCTCGATCGTACTGTATATTGAGCCCTGCCGTCCTTTGTAAGACTCACTAGCAGACCCATTGTCATCCGAGGTATCGAAAGTTCGGTTCTGGATGGGCCACTTTGGTGCGAAGACACCAAAACGGCATTATATGTATGCGAACAGCACGCGGGTACAGCTCTTAAATAAAGGGAAGATTTGCTTTGGTTTATTCAAGCACAACCAGAAAAGCGCCGTGTATCATACGGACGACAAGGGCATCAGGAGGTTTACTGGAACGCAGAAGCTCCGTGAAACCGAGCGCCTTCTCCTAATTCGTGTGCCCCCACGTTGGATCAATTAATATATAGTGCAAATAGATAAATGGGTACAGAAACCATTCGATCCAATGATTTATATGTTTCCAACGGAGCATCAGCAAGGTCCTTGCACCTGGTTAAACCCCGCACCAAACCACCCCGACGAAACCACAACTGAACAGCCCTCTATATATAGACCTGCCCTAACCATATATAGAGCTCTGAAGCTAATTTGTTCGAAATATACGTGCATCTACTGGTATCCTGGGGTTCTTTCTTAGAAGACACTGTCTTTTAAGACTGTAAACCCTAAAACAATAAGCTACCCACTAGCCAAGCCCTGGACCCTATATAGAATTCTATATCAAAGACTTGCAGCCCAGGCAGTACCCAGTGGCATTCGCCAAGCAGTTGGTGAACATCTGCGAGAGCCTGAAGCAGCATCGGGCGGGGTGTCCCAAAACTTCAGATATGATTCCTTCGGGTTTGGATACACTGGCTTCTTTACCGTCGGACTACCAGAAAGCCGAGTTTGGGAATGCTGGTCTGTGGGAAGTCTACAACTACCTGAGAGGCGGCAAATCTTTAAACATACCAGTGGAATGGCGGTGTGTTTTGCCATCAGGATTCTTGGGCTTCTAGAATTCAAGGACGTCTAAGGCCGGTGCCCGCTTTCGATTTGTTACAATAGGTGATGTGTTATGTAGGTATATAGAGGAGCAACTTTCGCCTGGTTCGGCCTGGATGTCCAGCCTTTCTAGAAAGCCGGTCTCCTCTATATCAGTCGGAATAGGATTTGGAGGGTTGGGGTTTAGGATCGCTGGTTTATATACGATCGGTTTCTATATATATACCAGGATTTAAGGGGGTGTCGATCGTTATTGTTGTCGGAAGGTCTGAGTAGTTCCGGGGTTGTAGAGTTTGAGGTTGGGTGTGTTGGGTTTGTGTTTTCAACTATTTAGAAGGTTTTTAGCGCTTTTTTTCAGGATTTTGCGGCCAAATCAGATTTTGATAGCCTACAGAGACTTTAACCCGTGATTCGTAGTGTTAAACCCTGGGTTTACCCTATCAAAACCCCGAGTCCTATGCCCTAAACCTCAGGTTTAGGTACATTTAGAGCTGACCCCGGGTTTCCCCCAACCCGTGGCAGACCCGTGATTTAACCGTGGCAGACCCGTGATTTAAGCGTGACGGCGTCATGGGTAAACCCGGGGTTTGGCCTATGGTCCCCGCAACATAATTTTCAAGTCCCTGAACAAAAAATCAGCGCTTCAATAGCCCAAACATAAGATTCTGCGGAACCCTGAAGCAGCCGACGTGCTTCCGGAAGCAGTGATCAGCCGAGCGCAGAATCGTGCTTGGAGCGACAGCTTCGTGACGCCTGGGAAAGGAAAGGTTCGATTATACTTTAGAATTGATCAGTGAGTTCGGACACGCTGCCTTCCGGATGTTGCTCCTCTTACGGCATGCATGTCCATCTTCTGAGGCATTTTGCTTTTTCAAGTTTGGGTGTGTATAGTCGAGATCGTCATGGCTTCCCATGGTGTGTCCAAGCTATGGAGCTGTGCTTCTCTCAGTCTTGGGATTAATGATGTTGCTGCCCGATCGGAAACTCTAAGCGAAGATCACTTGCAGCGAGAAATTGAGGACTGTAACGCAGGGGGTTCACCTATGTTGCTTCATGTTTGGCTTGCTGTCCATGTACTTAAGACTTCGGGCTCGTCTTGTATTTGGAGGAGCTGGAAGCTGCTCTGGCAGAGGATGCTGTCTGAGCCCCGTGTACTTATATATAGCTAATGAACATGAGCCGTCCAAGCGATAAGGTCTCGCAACCCGCGATGGTTCATGATCTCGCCTCACCAGAGGCCTCCACAATTCCCGCCGATTCCTGGGTTGCAGCTGCTGTTCAATGTTGAGTGTTGGGCTGATCTATATGGTGTGGGATCGCTGTAGTTAAGGCTTCGACGCAGGAGCTGAACGAGGCAGGGCTACAACTTGCAACCCCTGCTCCCTCCGGATGTGACGAATCTGATCTTCCTGAACTATCGCATACTGAAGCAGAGGACCCCAGCATCATATACAGATTTGGATCATCGGCATGCTTAATGATTCCCGAATTCCCTCAAGTAAGTTCTCGATCCTACTGGTTTCAGGACCAGGCCACGTTGAGGGCTGAAGAGGATGAGCTCGATAAGGACACTTGTCGAAATCAAAGTTTCATGGATGCTCATCATCGTATGTATAGAGGCCTGTGCTGACTGATGTCTCATGATCTAAGGCTTCCCCAGCAGAGCTGTTCTATCTGCTATCCAGTGTTCTGCAGCCAGCATCCGAAGATCCCTATGGATCCGACGGGGAAGACAACCTTACCACACCACCACCGCGACCTCGCCAAAAGCCCGACGACACCGATGACAATGCATCCGCCAAGGCTCTGAAGAAGATGCCAACGCGACGTGCTCCTCAGAATAATCACAGGCCAACACACAGGCATGTGTCAAACCATTCGGTAGATCGTGTATGTTCTGTGTGATGCAAGGAATCGCTATTGCGGGCCGCAAAAGCCCGTATCGACCGCATGGTCAAGGATCATGCTAGGAGGCAAGATCTCAACGTGCCCGACTGGCTCAAACAGGAATGGAAGAGTGGGAATAAAAACGCCATCGCAGCAACCTTGCAAGAGGTGAACTTTGATAAGGCTACTTGCTGGCATCATACAAAGTCAAGTTAAGCTGCAGTGCCAGACCAAACCATTTAGTTATTGAGCCCTCGAACATAATTCTAGACACTGCCCAACTACAAATCCCCCAAAACCCCGACGCTTGTAGTGATTGTAGTGTGTGTAGAGGCCCGGCAATTCTGGCCCCCATCCCAAACCCTATGTAAAGGACCCCAAAGAAACCTTTCTAATTAGGACCCGACTTCGAAACTTCCCAAATAAGAACGGCGAAGCTCACAAACCAGAATAATGTTGTGTATATATCACTGAAAACGCCCAGCAACAAAATCCCATTGCCCAGGCCGAGTTCATCGTGCGCATGGAGATCAAGATCCAGAAAAAAAACGAGAAGGAGATTGTGGTGGAGGAGGGCTTCTACTCCCGGTCAGAAATGATTACCGATTTGAGCTGGAGTGAGACTCTTATCTGTACTCAGCTTAAGAAGCTACCCTCATATCAGTTGAGCTTGCACACACATTGTGGACTGAATAAGGGCTCGTGCGGATGGCGCGATAGCGGTTTGCATGAAGCGCGGGCCCGCTTTCTACAGGCACGCAGAATGAGGGTTTTCTTAGCCTCGTGTTTCGTATTGCAGGAAAGTGAAACAACTATAGTATCACATGGCTCTGTGTAGCCCCCGTAAGATACGTGTTCCTCGTCTTGTAAGTCAACAGGATACCTCCGGATCGAGACCCCCAAATCATCCGTTTAGAGTACCCTAAAAAACAAAACTAACCCAGGCTCGATGATCAATCCCAAATCCCAAAGCCAACCCTAACTCAAAAGACAACAAGCCTACACAAGATTGTATATATGTGCATAATGAACCCCAAGCCAACCGTTGCTAAACCATAAAGCAAAAGACGATGCAAGAACCCTGGCCTAAGCCGAAAAACAAGCCTTTGTAAGTCCCTACTCGGGTAGGACAAACAAACCCCTGGCGAAGAAGTCTCAAAAACCGGCCTCACCCAAACAGTTTTAAGTTCTTTGCTTCTACCATGCAGATCGATCTCAATCCCAAGCAGAAGCCACAATCTTCCTACTTGATGCAGGCAAAACCAATATGACAATGAATGGGAATATTGGGTGAAAGTGAGGGAGTCCGGCAAGAGGCGGCAGGCAATCTCCTATGAGGAGAATTGCAAGAGAGTTCGTGAGGCCACAATGTTGCTTCCCACGGCTTGGCTAAGTATCGTGCATGCCAAGTCGCTGTAATGATGCAGCAGCTCTGTATCTTGCCAGGCAGACGACATGCCTGAAGATATGAAGCAGATCGCCGGCAAAATGGACAAGTTCGACATGCTTGAGGGTATGGACAAGCGGGAGCAAGACCCGGTGCCCCTGCCCGCAGCGGACCCTTCGGCCCACAAGCATGCCCAGGCTTATGCAAGTCAACGCTTTTGCAAAATTGTAGAGATTCTAGAATGGTCTTCATGTTGTGACATTCTGTGATTGCAGACCAAAGACAGCCTGGACAAGTTCAGCAGCTCCGTGGTAACAAAACTGGGGAAGCTTCGGTCCCTCATGAAAGATGTCCAAAAGAATTATACAAGCACCGATGATGTTACCAAGCTCCTCGATCCTTTCATGCTGCCTCGTGTTTGAAGAGACCCACCTACAAGTAAAACCTTCAAGTGGTTTGTCTGTTCGTATCAACTCAGGGCCATCAGCTCGCTGGACAGGGATATCAAGGCCGTGGAGGCTCAATACGATGGCATCACCGAGCTGAAAACCAAGATTGAGATGATGGGTATGACCGAGGAGTTATCCGGTTGCAGGGATCGGGTTCTGTATATACATGTGTGATACGGAGCAGCTATGTACGATGCCATGTTAAAGTGTTGCAGACTGCTACTTTGCTAGATGTATACGGTATATGATCAAAACGTGCAGCTGAGGTTCTACAAGCAGGCAGAGCAGCGCATCAAGGATGCCACACTGGTGTCCCTCGGCTTTATTCTGTCGTTTACTACATAGACAGCTATCCTGCAGAAGCCCCACACATGTGCAGGTGTAGCAAAGCTGCTGCAACCGAGATGAAAATCAGGACTGCTTGTGTAGCAACTAATTAGTGGCTTTACTGCTTATATTAGACCTCCGGCAATTGACAGGACAGCACGCAAGAGCTACGACAAGGGCGCCGGACCCAAAACCGAAAAGGCGGCCCCTCCGAAGGCTTCTGAGAAAGCCGCTGCAAAGCCTGCTGCTAAGAAGGCAACAAAAGCTCCCAAAGCCAAAGCCACGAAGTGAGCTTGAAAAGATGTTCTGTGGCACGGGTGAACCTGTGCTCATGTGCAATTAAGCTGCCATTGCGAATCCGTCGCACATGTGCAGATATGCATACACAAGCACATGTCGGGGTGTGTGCACAAAAGACTCTTGAGTGGTCGTTAGCTTCGCCGAGAGTGATGAAAATCTAGAATCCCAGAAGCTTAAATCCTTAAACCTATGCAAACCAATCTGCTGAGCTGCCAGGTACGGCGGCTGGACACCTGGTCCGTGGTTTGAGCGCCGACATTGGCGAGGGAGCCCAAAGCTCAGATTACCAGTCCAATCTGGTCTGCAAGTTAAGTTGGATGGATTGATAGGCAGCTTGCTCCGAAAATCTGTGTTGGAAGCTTTTCTGGCTTGTATCGTGGATGCTTAGATATGCACTGTTCTGCTCTGGGCAATGGATGCTACAGCAGCTAATGAAAGCCCCGATGATGAGCTGTGGGACCTTCTTACTTGCCACCGTGACGATGCCATCCCTGCTCCTGGCACAGTCTTTTTGTCGCTTTCGTCCATGTGAACTTATATACTTAGGTTTTTAATTTCATGTTGTGAGAGCCTAGGAATCCGTTGCTCCATATCCCTGGGCCAAATCCTTCGACAAGACTGGTCCTGGTCCTTTGGAAAGTACATCGAATCGTACCCTGAAGATCGAAAAGATTGTTGCCAAGGTTCCTTTTACAGCAGCAGAACCCCGCATCAAGAGCATTGGATGCTATAGGGACATGCAAAAAGCGCGAGATTTGGCTAGGTACCTCGAGGATTCGCCCAAGCTAGCCGAGATTTATCAACAATGTCGTGCGATTGCGTGTATATCATTTAATTTGCCTCCCCGGGATGCGACTGCTGGTAAGGCCTTGAAGCACGCGATATGTGAGGTGCACAAGCTGTTTAGCAAACACGAACCGCTCATATTCAAGTTCGGCTTCACACACAACCCGGCTTTTCGATGGAACAATCCAATTTACGGATATTCGCAAGACCGATCCAAATGGACGAATATGGAAATCTTGTACCTGTCCACCGAACCATGCGGACCTGCTATGATGGAAGCATCCCTCATCGACAAGTTCTCCAGTCTCTTGGCCCCAATATATATAGGCAACACGAATCACTTAATTGGTTTATGTCCTGTCGAACATATTCCAATCAAAACGATACATGCACAGCTGAGGCAGAGAAGGTTGTCGAAACATCAAATCTGGTGGGGACACGGTGGAAGCTTCCGCCGAAGATGACGACTCCCGGTACATGACCTACATAGTGTACAGGTCGTTCAAACATCCACCTACATGACTCGCTGATATGCGATGCTTTCCAATCTTTTCTTGTACAGAAAACGATTTGCTCTGCTCTGGGGGATGAGTGCAAAAATCGTGTTCGATGTGCGATCTGATGGATTCGGACATGTGCTAATCTTGGTTGTGGTCTTTGAAAAACGTTCCTTCATATCTGCCGAGGCCTCATGCCGATCTGCCATCCGCACTGCCCGCAACGTGGTCAAAGACATCGGTGTGACGAAGGCTCGTGGAATAGGCGGGTTGCTACCGCTAGCAGGGCTTTCGCAAAACCACAGTGAAAGAGATTCTCATTCATTGCTTGCGAAGAAGCTGTTGCTGTCATTGCCGATTCCGATTACTGAGACTTCCAGTGATTGCACATCTGGTGCAACGGACACGAAGCGAAAGGGCCTTTCAAGGCTTAGTCTCCGGGATTGGGCTCGGTATTTGCTGCAAACAAACAGCTGGCACGTATTGACCGGATTACGCAATCCGGATCGAAAGCGGGAGCAGAGTATTTGGCGGGCTTTCTGGGAAAGGTACAGGTTTCACGATCCCCAACATTGGATATTTCAAGCTGCAGCAGAGAAGAAATTAGAATTGGAAAACACAGCCGCAATCCTGCTCCATGGCGATGAAGGGCGGGGTCGCAGACGCAATCCGTTTTTCGTGCTTAGCTGGCATTCTTGTTTGGGACGAGGCACAAACCCTGCTTTGGCTTCGAGAAGAACATCCCTGAAGAAGGTTCGCAAACCGTACCTGAAGATGGAGTTGAACATGAAGGGCCACTCCTACACAACCCGATTCGTGACGGGCGTATTGCCAAAACATCTTTATAGCGAGAGTGACCAATCCTTTTTCGACCTTTTGGCTGCTGCCTATGATGATGCAAAGCTATTGAGCACTGAAGGTGTGCAACACAGCAGTGGAGAAAGACACTGGATGGTGATGCTGCGAACAACTGGTGATTGGCCATTTTTGGCCAAGGCTGGGTGCTTGCAAAGGACCTTCGCCAATGCTGTGAAAGCTGTTAACCAGGCATCGACTGGTGTATGTCATTTATGCGAAGCGGGGTTCCCGCACGCCCCACTTGAGGAAATCGGGACAAGGCATCCTTCATGGATGCACACAGTGTCTGCTTCCTCGCCATTCGGGTCTTGGCCTGAAGCTGGTCGCATTCTTGACACCCATGAGCAGCTAGCTGAGCACTTCGCGTACGACATGTTTCACACATTCCATCTTGGTGTTGGTCGTACATTCCTGGGGAGTGTGATTGCGCTTCTTTCTGATTTAGAAGTTGCTGGGAACATAGAGCAACGCTTTATGTCTCTAAGCGAGAAGTACCGCACCTGGTGTACAAACAACCACCGTTCCCCGATCGTTACGAAACTTACCAAAGAGCTTATCACTTGGGATGCCACAACGGACTACCCCAAAGGTGGATGGTACAAAGGGGCGTTAACCACCACTCTTATGGAATGGGTGGAATCGTTAGATGGCACCACCACAGATCCTTTGTTGGTTTCTGCTTTTGAGGCGACGAAGAGCATCAACCGCTGTTTCCGCATCCTTTATGCCGAAGGTGCATTTGTATCAGCCGACACGGCGAAGCTTACTGGAGAGCTAATCAGCCGTTTTTTGCGCCGGTACGAGCATTTGGTCCGAGAGACGTATCAGACGGAGCGCACATTATTTTCGATACCGCCCAAAATACACCCCTTGCACCACTTCGCTGTCGATCTACTCAAAGCTGGACGTGCTGGACACCCAGGAATCAACCCACTTCTATGGTCGACACAAATGAGCGAGGATCTTGTCGGGCGGCCGTCACGCCTTTCAAGGCGTGTCGGTACCCGATGTGTGGTGCAGAGAACACTCCAGCGCTACTTGCAAGCCGCATATCGGGAATGGGTGAAAGCGGGATTGCTCATAGAGTCGACGCGTCCGTGACCAGGAAAACAAGCTGAACTCAGTGAGTGGGGCGACAGTGGGCGAGCAATCATAAGCATCATGCGCCTCTAGAGCGAGTAATCATAGACACGAAAACTTTTTCGAGGTGGCAGTCAAGTGAACACTTTCGCATCAGTGCTAACATCTTTTAGTCGGGCCCAGCTACTTCGTACACGATACACATCAGCTCAAGATATCTTATCACAAACCACAAAATCCTTGAATCCCGTAAACCCGAGGTCTCGAACGCAAACCCCGTGTGCAGCAGCCACGCCGAAATTATCTATGGGTATGGGTTCCCTAGGTACATACATACATACATACGTCGTTACGTGCATACCTACGACGTACTGCATACTCGAAACTTCTTACAGTCCAAGTGTACACGGAACCTGAGCGTTGTTCATGGATTGGAAATCAATGCTCCTGGTGTGGATTGTGTTACTATCCTGTTTAGCTTGGTTGGTCGGCCGGAGGAACGTGGCGAATTAAGGTTGATCCCGCAGCATGCTCCAACCGTAAAAGTCGCTATTTGCGAGTGTTATAACGGGTTCTAAAATCTCACGGTATCAACCGTTGACTGCGCATTCCCCTCATGAGCGATAAGGTTCGCCGTGCAAAGCTGTACTTCATATGGTATGATTAAACTTGAAGCTTTGCGATATCCAGCGCTTTGATGCTGTTGGGTTTTCCTTCCCCCTATGGGTTTGGTGTTGCAACTTCCAGCCGTTGTCAGGTTTAGTATCGTGTAAGTGAATGTGTAGTCTTGGCATTTCTCGCTGAGTTTAGGGTGGGCTATTCCAGGCTGAGGTTTTCTTCAACTCACAGGGTTCCTGTTTTAGAAGAGAGCAAAAGTTTTACATCAATTCAAGCATAGGGTTTGCCACTCCATGTCCTCAGAGTTCTGTGATCGGCATGCAGTGCCATTTATCGACTTTTCGGGATTTGGGGGCGTGCCAGCCGGCACCATGTTAAGGCCTAGAGCATTTACCCGTTACATGCTTCGTTTTAAGAGCGCTGCCAATCCCGAAACCTTGAAAGGCTTTATAAGATGGTCTGCGAAAGTTCAGGTGAAGCATTTGTTATACCCGATATATCTTTTTATGTTTCAATCTTCAACGTTTGCTGCTCCGCGCTCATTTTAGATTTGACTGTTCCGCCGCTGGCCAGTCTTCTGTTGTTGCAACTCGCCGGAGGGCCGCTGGCCATTTTTTGCCACAGGTATGTCCAACATTAGGATACACAAGTCTTTCTGCAAAAGCACATCCATCCATCCATTCGTCCATCCTTCGCTCCATCCATCCATCCATTCATTCATCCATCCATCCGTCATAAACACATACATGACAAACATACAGATGTAATTACACACATACGTTTGGAAGAATTATCTGTATAGACACACAAACAAAGGCTCGACAGCTGCTGTCACTCGTTAGACCAAACAGATGTTCAAAATTGATGTTCTTTTCCCCAGCCCGATGCCACCAAGCCACCTTTGTTCGCAAATTGTTCGTACGAGTGCTGCATTTCCTCCTGTTTTGGGTTTTTCTGTCCACCGAGAGAAAAAATGTGTTTGCGATGCCTGAAAATCGCCTGCATCTGTCGTGAAGTTGGGCCTTACCGGTTTCGACCCGCTCCAGAGCAGAACTTGACAAGTTGACGCAGTGTCGCAAATGGTATGCAGATGGTTGCGTGTTTCCCAATAACCGTATGCCGCGGCATCCTGAGACTTCTCGTCACATGTTATCACGTACCGTGTCTTACTGCTTTAATGCGTTTGCCGTATGCCATCATCATATCCAACATGCCTACATGCAACCATATTATGACGTAACTTTGTGCTCTTTAGATACCCCTTTCTCTCTTTGTGTCTATGTATAGATCTCTCTCACTCCCTCTGTCTTTCCCTCTCTCTCTTTATGTGTACATAAACATATATGCAATATGCTATACATGCATACAGAGATACATACATGCATGCAAGCATGCATGCATGCATACATTTACAAGCTCATGTAAAGAAAACGCACACGCAAGGCTCTGTGTGTATGTGTATGTATACGTGTATGTGTATGTTTGTGTGTGTGCGCTTGCCTGTTGGTACGTATGTGTGCAGTGAGTTCAATGAGTGCACAACTAGTGTACATAGGCCTGCTTCGGCTTCATGTTACATGTGTGCAATACTTCATCCTCACATGGCATTGTTATGTACCTGCTGACCATTGTTCAGTGCTTCGTAATTAGTTACTTGCATATAGTATGTTCACAGGAAATAGCGTTACTAAATTAAGGTTTATAAAAATACCAGATGCGAACTCCAGCGTGCCAATTATCAACCCTTACACCCAACAGTCTTCCAAATTGCAGAGCATGAGCAGCAGCAGATGCCAACTACTGTATACGTTCTGAGTTCAACATGATACTATGTTCGAATACACGTACATCTTCTGGGATGGGCTTTGGCAGCCCTGAAAATTATTTATGGATCCGGGCTGTTTTTGTGCATCCATGTGAATGCAACACCAAGCAGCAATCACTCACTCTTTTTCTCCCGCGATCATGTGGAATGTCAACAGTGGTAACAAGAAAAACGCGACAATCAGCAGCCACTGACACTGGCAGCTCAGACGATGGTGGCCTGCAAGAGCAGGCAGAAACCAAAATCTGTCTTGACACCCTGACAATGGAAGCATTTGACACTCATTCTGTGTGGCAAGTGCAATAACACACCCAATGCGCACCCCTCCATGCCTGCTCAAAGTTGACACTGATTTCCAGCTGGTAGGCCTGACATAATGGAAACACGTGACACTCATTCTGTGTGGCCAGTGCAATAACGCACCCAAGACGCACCCCTCCATGCCTGCTCCAAGTTGACACTGGTCTCCAAGACGAAGGCCTGCCATAGTGGATGCATTTGACACTCATTCTGTGTGGCCAGTACAATAACGCACCCAATACGCACCCCTGCCTGCCTTGTTACAGTTGACACTGATCTCCAGCTGGTAGGTGTGTCAACTTTGAGCACGCGTGGAGGGTGCCTACTGGGTCCCAACACACACCCTCCATGCCTGCTCAAAGTTGACACTGATGTCCAGCTGGTAAGCCTGACATTAAGGAGCAATTGACTCTCATTCTGTGTGGCCAGTACAATAACGCACCCAATACGCAAACCTGCGTGCCTTCTCCAAGTTCACACTGATGTCCAGGAGGAAGACCTGACTTTAATGGATTGACATTCATCGACATCCACTGCACCGTAACTGCTTGTCGACATGGTGACACTTGGCAGAGGAATCATCAACCAAAACAGAGTCATAGCACCAACCAGGCGGCGAGCGGCTCATTCAGACCTTGCATGTTGGAACAGTTTTTCTCCGAAAAACTGTTCCAACAGGCAAGGTCTGAGCGAGCCAGCTGACACTTCATTCCATGACAAAGCAGACGGTAAGCCTGACATCACTTGACACTCGTTCTGTGTGGCCAGTACACTAACGCACCGAACACGCACCCCTCCATCCATGCCTTCTCTAAGTTGACACTGATGCCCAGGAGGAAGACCTGACTTTAGTGAATTGTCGTCGACATGGTGACACTTGGCAGAGGAATCATCAACCAAAGCAGAGTCATAGCACCAGCCATGCGGCGAGCGGCTCAGTCAGACCTTGACCACTCGAGCAGCTGGACGGTCTGTCCAACTGCTCGACGAGTCAAGGTCTGAGCGAGCCAGCTGACACTTCATTCCATGACAAAGCGAATGGTAAGCCTGACATAATGGAAACATGTGACAATCATTCTGTGTGGCCAGTACAATAACGCACCCAATTCGCACCCCTCCATGCCTGCTCAAAGTTGACACTGATTTCCACCTGATAGGCCTGACATAATGGAAGCATGTGACACTCGTCATTCTGTGTGGCCAGTACAATAACGCACCCAATTCGCACCCCTCCATGCCTGCTCCAAGTTGACACTGATTTCCAGCTGGTAGGCCTGACATAATGGAAGCATGTGACACTCATTCTGTGTGGCCAGTACAATAACACACCCAATGCGCACCCCTCCATGCCTGCTCAAAGTTGACACTGATTTCCAGCTGGTAGGCCTGACATAATAGAAACACGTGACACTCATTCTGTGTGGCCAGTACAATAACGCACCCAAGACGCACCCCTCCATGCCTGCTCCAAGTTGACACTGATCTCCAAGACGAAGGCCTGCCATAGTGGATGCATTTGACACTCATTCTGTGTGGCCAGTACAATAACGCACCCAATACGCACCCCTGCCTGCCTTGTCACAGTTGACACTGATCTCCAGCTGGTAGGTGTGTCAACTTTGAGCACGCATGGAGGGGGCCTATTGGGTCCCAACACACACCCTCCATGCCTGCTCAAAGTTGACACTGATGTCCAGCTGGTAAGCCTGACATTAAGGAGCAATTGACCGGCCAGGACAATAACGCACCCAATACGCAAACCTGCCTGCCTTCTCCAAGTTGACACTGATGTCCAGGAGGAGGACCTGACTTTAATGGATTGACACTCATCGACATCCACTGCACCGTAACTGCTTGTCGACATGGTGACACTTGGCAGAGGAATCATCAACCAAAACAGAGTAGCACCAGCCAGGCGGCGAGCGGCTCATTCAGACCTTGACAGCTCGAGCAGCTTGACGGTCTGTCAAACTGCTCGAGGAGTCAAGGTCTGAGAGAGCCAGCTGACACTTCATTCCATGACAAAGCAGACGGTAAGCCTGACATAACGGAATCACTTGACACTCGTTCTGTGTGGCCAGTACACTAACGCACCGAACACGCACCCCTCCATCCGTGCCTTCTCTAAGTTGACACTGATGCCCAGGAGGAAGACCTGACTTTAGTGAACTGTCGTCGACATGGTGACACTTGGCAAACTTAAAGGTATCATCAACCAAAACAGAGTCATAGCACCAGCCAAGCGGCGAGCGGCTCATTCAGACCTTGACAGCTCGAG